TAACGACAGAAAAACATCCTCCAACACACTTTGTGATATTTATTTTGTAAATCATTTCATAAAGTCTGGAAGAAAGTTATCAGCGTTAGATGTTACAAAAAAAAATTTAAGTGTTGAAGAAAAAAATCTATTAATTCAATGTTCAGCTAATGTACGCAATGTCTTCTTTTATTGTCCAATTAAATTAGAAGGATGGAAACCAGTAAATAAGATTGAAGGGCTTGCAATATACATCTCTAGTTATTTAGTAACGAAGAAAGAATTTGAACAAAACTTTCTTCCATGGATAAATCTTTGTGAAAAACTGACTCTTAAACTTCATGACGACATCGATTTTATTCAAGATGTATATGAATGGATTCGCTGTTTGAATATTAAATGGTTGTCGATTAACTACCGTGGAAAATACTTTTATAACCTCAACGAATTAAAAAGCTTTATAACTCAGGAAAAATGTTTAATATCTTAAAGATATAAAAAAAAACAATTGAGTTCGTCAATAATAAATTAATTATATCAAAAAAATCCATTTTTTAACATTTCTAAATTGTTTTATTTTCGAGATCATTAGAGGTAAATATATCATTAGGTGTAAATTAACAAAATTGATTAGCTATATCCTATCACAGCTATTATGAAAGGTTCAAGAACGTTTAACAAACGTTGCGAACGTTTAGAAAGTAGAACGATCGCAACGTTTGTTCAACGTACTTAAACGTTTTGAGTTAACTAGATTAATTTTAAGTTGTTCAGTCATATTGTATTTTTTGAAAAAACACAAAATCATTATTTTTGAATTATGTTATATTTTAAATGACCAACTCAGTTACAAATTAAGTGAAATGTTTTATGGATTTTTTTGTTAACAAATATGTTTTTAAATATACTATTTAATTTAAATAACATATTTGATGTTTAAAAATTTTATTTCTTGTTTTTTTGATTTAATTTGGGAATTTCTAAAGGATGATTAATGTTTAAAAATTTGATTTAATGTTAACAAATTTAAGAGTTTTATAATAAGTAAATCGTTTGTTATATATGGTAAGTTTGTTTTAGATATATAAATAAGAACAATATTATGGCATTTAATTTAATCTAATTATTTTTAAATATTAAACAATATTTAGAAAAATATTAATAATAGTAAAAATAAGTAAAAATAATATTACTATAATAATAATTATGATATCAAATTTATTTTAAGTTTATAGTTAAAATTGCATTAACTTTTGTTTTTATTATATTAGTTATACAATATATAACTTTAAATTAAATAAATAAATGTTAAAAAGATATTTGTTATTATTTATACTTTGTGATTTGGTTCAAATACATTTCAGGAATGTTATAGCTTCCAAAAATAATTTAATCTTCTGCAGAAACTTTTTTTTGGATGTATTATGCTTTATAATTACTTTAAAAAAATAATAATTAGACAAAAGTATTTCATAAAATACATTACTGACAATAAGTATAAAATCACTTAATTATTTGTAAGTGGTTTAGTACTAATTATAACTAATAAGTTTATTAAATGGTAATTTTTTACACTTTTTATCACTAATGACTGAATGACAACTTTTTGTTAGTGTATAAGGACTTATAATCATTGCCATTTTTATACTAATGCACTAAAGATTTAATTGTGGTTTATTACTAATTGTAAGTAATGAGCATTTGTTATATAATATTCTTGTTTGTACCACGTATTAAAAAAATGAACAGTTTATGTTTTTATTGATAAATAACTTGATTTTCTGATTAATCAATGCCTGTAAAGAATGCATGATAAACGCTTGTTAGAAGCATTTTTACTAAGTAAATAATACATGTCTTTTACTAGTTAGTATACCTTTTTTGTAATAATTCTTAAATTATTAAGCAGTTTTGCTGAGGGTGAGTATTTTTCAATATAGTCAACAAATAAAGTTTTGTAAAGTATAAGGTTAGGATATAAATTTTTAGTTCTAATGTAAACACACTGTGAAACAAGGCCTTGATGAAAGCTTATTACATAAAAATGATGCGCAGGAAAATGTTATAAGGTATCTAGATTTTTTCTTTAAAACTAGTACCACAAACAAAAAAATTAATGGAGTCAAACCTGTAACACTACTATAATAAACTGATACCTTAATGTATTATAAATAATCCGAAAAGAATCACTGTTGAAATTATTTACTTTTCTTATACTATCATCGAAGTCAATATGTAATCGTGGTATGATGACACCTCAGTTTGAAAAACAGAAGAGAATCTGCAACTATCAGTGAAATCAAAAGCTCTTGCAGTCCGTTTTTCAGAACACCCTGGCGTCTCTAAAAAAGTTTCAACTCACTAATTTTTTAGAAGGAATAACTAAATTGAAAAAAAATATTTTTTCACTTCACTCTAATTCACACTACAACTTAAATAAGCCCATTTGATAAACTTGTTATTTTTTAAGGTTATCCTTCAAGGAAGGTTTTTGAGAAAATAAGGACTTATGCCATCTGGG